TGTTTTGTTTTGTTTTTTGGCGGAACCGGGGATTGAACTCAGATCCTTGCGTTTGCCAGTGAAGCGCTTATCCTACTGAGCCATCTCCCCGGCCCCTATTTTCAATATTGATAAGGGCATTCTACACAGACTTGACAGCCTCAAGGGTGCTGAAAATTGGCTTGACAAACTCTAAAAGCCCTCTTTTAGAGGACAAGTAGTAAGCTTAGTTGTGATGCGTGTTATTTCATGCTATGTGTTACTCCCATTCCTTTCATTTATTCTGAATCTTGAGAACAGATTCAACATCTTCTCCATGTTACCTTTCGTGCAAGTACAGACACAAATACAGTGGTACCTTGCTTTGTGAAGTTAATTTGTTCCATGATTCTGGGAAAGTTGGTCATATTAATGTTCATGCAGAGAAGATGGCTGCAGTTGTATTCTATCACCAGATGCAACTTCGTGAACAGAAACAAAATCTTGAAGAATACTTCTGTTTGCAAACCAAATTGTATAAAAGTATATGGGAACCAAAGCATTACTGTATTACTAATTTCCATGGCTGACTTCCGGCCCAACTACATGCATTTCAAATGGAGGCTCACAACATTACTTTGGGTCATCTCAGTGTTACTCCTACTGGCAAATCTAAACATTGCTTTGCTGGTCTCAGCCATCACATTGGGTTCTTAGAGCTGACTTTCTGGACAGATATAACAGCAGATTTATGGTAAGTGAACTTCTGCAAATCATATTGGAATAATGCTTTTTTGGTACTTTCTTGCAGTCCAAAGAGTGCTGTATATGCTGTTCCTACAGGCCCTCCTTGAAGAAGGCATGATGACCTCCTGCATCTAGCACCATATCTATCTACCATGTATTCTCTCCCCCTTGCCTAATCTAGATTGCAAAACCAAAAGGACAGAATTATGGGGAGACTCTGAACAAAGGAGTGTTTGAAGTGAGTGTGAAAAAGAAAGGGACTTTCTGGACAATAGTTCAGAACTCCTGAAATGCATGCGTTAACCACTCAACAGGGTGTCACTCAGGCAGTGCATTTGTTTATATATTACTATCCTGAGCAATGCTCAGGCAATTATCATTTTAATCAGTTAATTCTTGTACTGACTTTAGCCTGAACTACATAGTAAGACTAAGACACTGTCTCAAATTGAGAGGATATCCTATTCCTCTTCAAAATATCATCTAGCTTATCTTTAATTTTAAAGAATATTTTTTGGCATTCTTTGCTCCCTACCTCATTATTAAGGCTTAGTCTCTAACCTAGGGTCTTGTTTATATTAACAAGTTCTCTACTGATGGAGACCAGTATGAAGCAGCTCTGAGGATTTAAATTAACCAATTGGCTTTCTGTGTTTGCTTGTGAATCTGTCCAAGACCCCTTCTATGAAGATGGACAGCAGATTTAAATAAGTGAAATTCTATAAATCACTGGCCCTGGATGAGACCTATAGTGGCCTCTGATGCCCTAAAGCCTCAAAGGACAAGACAAGGCCTAAGTTGAGGACCTGGCTCTAACCCCAATAGATTACAAGACTAGTTCCAGGCATCTCACTCCTGCAGTGAAGGTCAACCTGGAGATAAAATAAGTCTTCTAAATTAACATAATTTATTACTTGGAGAAGTTCTTGGAGGAACTCACAAGGTCTTACTCTATTTCCAGAACTTTCCAGCTAACCCCTTCCTTTATTTGAAAACCAAATAAATAAATATGGGCTACCCCGAGAAGTTCTTTGTCTCAGCCTCCAGAGAATCTCAAATTCTGCATGACGGTTTTGATCCTCCTAAGTGTTGAGGTATGGTTTTAGAGCCCTAAAACTATACCACTTGTCTCTTATTTACACCTTCACCATCCACTCATTTGGAAGGTTTCAGACCTGATCAGTCTGTGGTATTCTATCCTGAGTTCCAGCCAAACCCCATTATTCTTTTTTTCAACAATAAAATATATGTACAATTAACCAGTGACTACAGTTATTTGAAAATAATGACAACAGTAATATTGCAAATTTGGAAAAAAATGAATTTGGTTTATAATAGTAATTCATGATTGTTGGTGTTTTTGTGTTTTATGTGTATATGTGCATGTGTGTGTGTGTGCGCACGCATGCCATCACTCGTGTGCTTTTTTTTTCCTGAAAAATTAAAGCTTTAATTACATCAGCTGTTTTCAAAAATCATGTTCTGAGTAGAGATTTCCCATTGATGCTGGAGTTGGTGAATGCCCACTGCAGAAGCCCAGCTGTCACCAGGAGATGGCAGATGCTCACTGCCAGTGTAGAGCAACCTGCTCCATGCCCTCTGCCCAAAGAGGATGGTAATGGCCCCTCAGTGCTGGCAGGGTGAGACTGTACAGAGGTGGCCCAGAATGAGATTTCCTGATCATGACCCTCCCATGCAGGTTTTCCTGTTCAGGACTTGACAGATAAAGTCCCCAGCTTCCAGGAGCTTCTGGAGATTCACATCTGTATGAATCCCCAAACTGCTCAGCATGTAGACAAGGTCCTCAGCGGCCAGGTTCCCCGATGCCCCCTGTGCAAAGGGTCAACCTCCAAGTCCTGACACAGAGGTGTCCACTCACACCCATCTACAGAGCCATCATGGTATTGGCCAGGGTTTGGCCAGAGGTGTCATGGCAGTGGACAGCCAGGATGGCCACAGGCACTTCATGCATGACAGCTGAGAGCATGTCTTTCATGAGTCCTGGGGTGCCAAACGCCGATTGTGTCCCTCCAGGAAGATCTGGTAGCAGCCCATTGAGTACAGCTTCTTGGAGACTGCAGCTACTTTGGCCAGGGAGATCTTCCCTTTGTAGGACATCCAAGCGTACAGGAGACATAGCCCCTGCACGGGAATCCCAACAGCCTGTGTGGCCTCCAGGACCCTGCCCATGCACTGGAAGCTCTTGTCTATGGAACAGTTGATGTTCTTGGAGAACAGCTCAGAGGCAGCTCTGAAGACGCTCACTTCCTTGGTGCCACCACTGCTTCAAAGCCTTTCAGATTTGGGGTCAGGACTGGGTAGCTGATGCCAGGAAACTTCTAAATCCCCTTTAAGACTTCAGTGTGGTCAGCCATCTGGGGCACCCATTTGGGGGAGACAAAGCTCGTGGCATTTATAACAGGAAGTCCTACTTCTGAAAGCATGCCTATCAGCTTGATTTTCACTGAAGTAGGTACCACATTCTTTTCATTTTATAGACCATCCTGGGGATCAACTTCTACAATTTTCACTTGCTTTGGGAACATGCCCATGGATGAAGTGCTGACAGCCGGAGGGAAGCCAGTGCTTTGGTTTTTTGAGACAGGCTCTCACTATGTATTTCAGGCTGGACTTCCACTCACTATGTGTAGCTCAGGTGGCCTTGAATGCTCAGTAATCCTCCTGTCTTGGCTTCCTGAGTGCTGGGATTACAGGAATGTGCTACTACAACTGGAAATGTTTAAATTATAAGTATCCAGAGAAAAAATGACTAATTTGTGTGTTTATTGGCAGAATCTTTTCAGTTATTGATATACAATTTTGGTGGTCCATCAATTCAGTCAGTACATTTTATTTTTTAAAAATAACCGCTCAGCGTGTGACCAAGAAGAGAAATTTAATATAAGACTTTCATGGTCCTTATTTCATTCTATCTTTGTAATATAGCTTGATAGCCAATGCCTTAAAAAGATTCTTAGAATAAAATCTGTGAGACTTTGTCAGACAAGGTAATTTCCCACTTTTTCAAATTTATCATACTAGATTGCTACTGTAGACAGGCAAGTCAAAGAGAAATTTTCTATATTGTTAAAAACATACTTTCTATACTTATTCATTTAAAAGAACAATTTAAAATCTAATCTATTTAGAATTACATATTTTAAAATTAGCTTTGAATAGCTGGCAAGATCGCTCAGCAGACTAAGTGCCTGCTTAGGCAAGCACAAGGACTGGGGTTTGATCCCCAGCACCACATGCCATGCAGGCCCAACCTCCAGGTGCACTGAGCAAGCCACCAAGACCTGGAATGGTGTCAGTCACATGTAATCCCAGCTGTAGGGAGGCTGAAAACAAGAATCCAAGCTGTGTAGTGAGACCCTGTACCAAATATTATTTATTTATTTAGCGGAACCAGGGATTGAACTCAGGCTCTTGTGCTTGCCAGGCAAGCACTTATTCTACTGAGCTATCTCCCCAGCCCCTCCAAATACACTTTTTAAAAAATTAGCCTTGAAATGCATGAAGGTTTCATTATACTCTTTCAGCAGGGTGCTCTACAGTGTATGAGCAATCAGAAGTATGATACATCTCAGGCTCATTAAGTAGTTACAAAAAATAAACATCTCATTCTTGTTGTCTTAATATATCTTTCACTGATGAGCAAAATGTCTTATGTCTTCCTGGTGTTACCTTGGTTTTTCTCTTTGAGTTCTTTATCTTTGTTAATTTGCTCATTTCCAAAATCACTGGTAGTAAATTTATCTAATGTCTTCATGGCAGAGTACAGAGTTGTAGAAATTTCTGGGAGAATATCTCTTTTATTTAGCCTTTGGTACACGGAATAGCCCTTTGTACCATGATTTATTTTGTGGTACTGTCATTGAAGTGCATTGTCATCCATTTTTCCTGTGAGAAGATCCTTTGAGAGTTACTTAATTTAGTTCCCCCCTTCTCTAGCTTCCCTTCCCATTTTATTTTTTTATCTTCCTTTCCCTTCCTCTACTGTACTTTTTTGCTCTACAATTGATGAAATGATCCTGAAATACTGAGAACACATTAAAATCTGTTCCATACATTGTAAGATATCAATCAGTATATATTGCATTTGCAAAAGCTTTCTGTGGAGCAGGAGAATTGGAGAGAAGGAGGAGGAGGAGGAAGAGGAGGAGGAGGAAGAGGAAGATGAAGAAGAAGAAGAAGAAGAAG